CCGCCCCCTCCCTCGTCGAGCTGCCTCGCGACGTCGATGGATTTTACCTGGCATCCCATGCGTACACCAACCGCCATGCACAGTGAGCTTGGAAATACCTGGCCCCACGAAAGGAAGCATGTCATGGTTGAGGGCTGAGCTGACTGCATCTCAAGGAGCAAACGAAGGACGCTTCCAACCCCGCTCTGTGATGCCAACCACGAAAACAGGCGCAGGTGGCGATGCATGTCGGAAGAGGGAGATGCGCTACTGCTCACCTGGAGTGTTGAAGCAGCTGGAACACATGTTCCGAAGCTTGTACGGCTGAACAACTGGCTAAGAATCCTCTCTGGCTTCTCTCTCGGCGAACAGCGTGTGGGAGATCACCCCCTAGCTGCGTTCATAGGGACACTTGCGCTGGCAAACACGGTGTACGAAAGCCGTCCGCTATGTTGGACCTTGTGAGAAGTGTCATACGGGGTTCGGAGGGCTGACATGGAAGTAGAAGTCCGATAAACTGCGGACATTACCACCTATGCGGCCATTCTTTCCGCCATCTCTGGCTTTACGACGTATCTCGGACTCGTACGTCCAACAAGGCAAGTCAAACGATGAAAATCTGTGACTTGTTCGGTTACTTCATATCCGAAAGCCTGTCCAACGGTACAAAAACATTGACATACTTCCAGAAACTGTCGTCTTAGGGCCGAGCATACCGGGCTTTCTGACTTTCCTAACACCCGCATCAAGCAGACATTGGCCTGTTTGAACATCTTGCCTACCGAGCAGGATCCTCTCACTGTTGCTTCCGCTGATCAGATGACCATTTCACGCAGCAGCTGAGAACCTGTCAGTGTTGTGGCTGCCGCTTCTCAACGCCACAGCATGATCAAGCATTAGCCGATACGGCAGACACAACGAATGTCGAATCGATTGAAGCCTCGAATGCATTCGCTGAACCTGTGTGATAAACGACTCAACAATTCTCTCGCAGGTTCCGACGGTTCCGCTAGCCTCAACTACCAACTCAACGTACACTACTACGCAAATCTTACGAGCAGCGCGACTAAAAACTCGCTCAAAGAGCCCTGTAGATGGCCCACATGGCGCGCCTGGTCCATGATAGGTTACCCCGCACTATCGGAGATATGTTGACCTAGCGGCGCACACAACGCACGTCCTCGACCACAGCCCCTCGGCTCTTGAGTTTCTTTGACTCATGGACCCTTCATGCTGAGACCACAATTGCCGCAGAAGCCTTTCATTTGGCGACGACGGTAAGCATGAAGTTCTCCCAAGGGATCGTCCAGGAGGCCGGCGGCATTCCCCGGCCGTAGGATCCGGTAGCATGTCGTCGGCTTTCCGGGGAAGGTGTACACATGGGGAATGCCGTGTGATGCGATAATGCATTGATGATGGCTTTTAGCGAGCGGTTGCGGCGGCCGGGGCGGGCGCTCGCTTGCACATCAGGGACTTTACGCGCGGTCTTCACGTAAAAAAAGAAACATGCTTTGACCCCCCCTTCGGAAGTAGCTCCTATCCAGACCGGGGACTCGGAAAACTTCTCTTGCGCGGTTGCTTTTCCATTGCCACTGCGTATATGCCGCCTAATAACTCTGTTAACAAGGCCGCCCTTTTTTCTTCTATAGCATGCTTGCTTCGTATTATTTCGCGCAGTTTGCGTTCATGTTTATGCCTTAATAAGGCAGCGATATATGGCCGAAAATAAATCAACTGCATTGAAACCGCATCATCAGTGACAACCGATGCGTCCTTGCTGGCCTTGATTCTAAGGTCATTGCATTGTCCTCGGCATCGTTTACTCAGAGAAAGAACCGGAATGCCGTCCCGAATCATGCCCGGTCACTAGAAACAACATCTGGATGGGAATCTTGATGCATTTGATGTCCTGCTGGTTATCTCCCATGGTACGTTGCAGCACTTCATGCGGTTTGTACGTGTGTTATATCTATTTGTCCGGTATTCTCTCCAGATACAATGAGAAATACGTTAGTATCTTAAACTTACATCCTGCTCGTCAGTTTCCGTTCTTTTATTTCTCTTGCGGAAGCTTTTGTTTTGAATATACTCATGCTTCAACCTCCGTTGTGATAGCTAAGCACACGAACTTTATTTCGAAGGATCAGGCGATTGGTAGACCAAAAGTTCGAGAACTAATAGCCATTCACCCCCGGAGCGGTTTTTATTCACACGTATTGGACCGAAAAAATGAAAGACGACAGTACACTATTTCCAGTCCCTGTTTATTCGTCTCATATTCTCTGACAGCATGGCATCTGTCCGTCATGTCACATATTATAAACCCAATCTCTGTCGTCACGGGACACCCTATTCACCAAATACTACGGATAGCAGCCCCCCGTGGAGAATAGATGGCCTCTGGCATATCAGGATCAGAAAATCCAAGTTAGGCAGATGTATGATGTTTGCCAGAATCCCAGCTCCTTGTCTCGCGGTATTGTATCGGGGCTTTGATCCTTTCACAGTTACGGAATAGCGCTGCGATAGCCAGCACATTAAGTTGGGAAGATATCACTTCTGTCGGGGGGAAAGATTAAACGGTGCTGTTTAAAGACTTTTGCAACACGCTTTGGCAACCTTTTGGATGTGAGCTACGTACGGAGAAGTTGATTTTTCGATATCTTGAGAGTGCGTAGTCCGTAATCGAAGAACACATTATGTGTTCGCAGGAGATCCGTTACATTGAATTCGCGGTGTTCACGAAAACCTGATATCCTTGGTGACTTTAATGTACTACCAAACATACTTGCAAGGTCCAATGCTTGATTCTATGTGTGAGATGAAAAAAAAACAAAAACAAGGACTTCTACGTTCGCCTGACCACTTCAAATCCCTATGTACATGACCCGACGCTACCTCGATCTATTTCTGTGGCATTGGCTCCATGGTCTCTTCGCCAGTTAGTTCGACGACGAATTTTTGGGTTCTGCCCGGTCGATGTCCATTGCAACCGGGAAACTAAAGAAGCATATCGCTTGATTCGTGAAATGAAGTCAATCGTCCCGCGATGCATTTCCGAGCTTGTATTCTCTGTGGCCCAGAAAACGGCCGTCCGCATGTTTCGGAGCAAAGGTAGAAAAAGTTTGGTATGTAGTTTCTTCCCAGTGATTCAATACAAGTTAAAGTGCCTCGAAATAGTCTGTAGACCCAACACGCTTGAAGGACTGTTGCGCACAAGATGCCTTGGTGTCCTGCATCCTCATGTCCAATTGACAATAGTATCGTTCTCCTGTACAGCACAGCGGGAAAGTGCTTGATTTGGTAAGTAGATGCCAGAGTCGTTAGTGGTACAGCGTGCGGGCACTAGCTGACTTGTTTGGCTGCTTGGGTCGTTGGTAACTGATGGAAGTCGATAGCGGCAGCCGTCGGCGGTAGAGTGCCATGTCGATGTAAAAATATTGTCTACTAAGAGGTTTTCAAGGATATTAGCTACGGATGAAGGTTTTGGCACAGGGCGCGGGGCGGCAGGCGATACCATGAGGGCATTCTCCAGAGAAACAATGGTCATGATCTCCTGACATAGGATGAAAGGGCAATTGAGCTGACATTGAAACGAGTCTTTTTTCTTGGCTTTCACAATATCGCTTCCAATGTCAAAGCGAGAGAGGACAAAGGTCGAAGTGGTGCTCCCCAAGACTACCTAGATCAGCAACAATGACGTCATCGCGGATACATCCACCTACTTTTTTCGGCAACAGCCACGAATTACTTACACTTGCTCACAAGAACTTGATAAGGGTATCGGAGGAGTTGGAGTTTTCATGCAAGCACCTTACGATCCCTATTGAGAAATGGATAGCCATGGGAGCCACAGCGACAAACTCAACCCTGCAAAACGCTGACGCTGTGAGCCTGTATCGAGTACACTGCACAAAGAACACGGAATACCTCTGCGTGCGTAGGCATTTTCAGCGGTGTGTCGTGATATGCAAAATTAAAGATCCGGACGGAACCGGACGGACTGCACTCGCTATGGCTTTTTCACACGAACAACGCAATGAAACCGACAATAAATTTTCAAAGTATGGAATGCACACTCAATCAATGCTGTTCAAGACTCGCGAGAGCCTGTGGCCCAGAAGAATGGCACTGCAACGACGACGACGTGAAAACGGTGCTGAAAACGGCAAAAGGACAAAGTTGTGCGAAACGCGGGATTCAGTGCCATGCACCTGAGTGGTTGATATCAAGTCGAATGGAACACAGCCCGTCACGAGTCGCGGGACACTTGGAAGCAAGCTTTGGTGATTTGCAAACCTGGTGAGGGTGCAGCTGATGAGCATCGTCAAATTGTTTCACGTTCCAATGGTCTGGCGCACAATGCGCGTGGAATTGTGGAGTTGTTCCTCAAACGTGCTCGTTACCGACCCCAGACAAGTCTCAATGCGATTGTTTTAGCCACTCCGCTGGATAGTTAAGCGTCTGTCGAGGGCAATCGAGGTTTCATGTGAGTTGCGTGGAGGTGTCAGGCCGGAACAGGAAAATTGGGGATCTGGTGAGTGGCATGTTGGGTCTGTTGCAGGAATGCACGTCGAGACGAATTGCGCGTTTCGTGCAACAAAGACTCATGCCGACAATCTCAAGCATGAGACGGCAGGTAGAGTAGTGGATAAACACGTTGTGGGTGCTGAAGAGGCTCATTGCAGTCGTTTTGTTGTTCATGGTCCATACTCCTCTTCAGTTTGGTTCGAGTATTCCCTTTACTATTGCCGTTGGAATTGCTAGGGTATTCTCTCCTTAACGCTCGAGGATTCCTCAAGCCGGCTAAGCGGTGCTTTCACAGTGACACGGTTCGACAGGCAGACGTAAGGACGTGAACTGGATTGCCGTGTAAATGCCTGACCCTATGTCACGATACCGGCAAGGAAACTCAGCCCATATCCCCAATCGTCCCCTTTGATCCGAGAATTTTTGAGAGCAGGCAACCGTTTCGAAAAAGCAACACCGAGCACCCTTCCTTATCCCATCACAAGCCCATTTTAACGGGTCTTGGCCTGAGCCTTGGGAGCCGAACCCTTCGCACCCTGCTTGCTCTGGATCCTCTGGGTCTGGCCCTTGGCGGCGCCGGCGGCGGACTTGGCCTTCTCAGCCTTCTTCTTGCTCTCGGAGGCGGTCTTCTTCTCCTTGGCGGCGGTGATGGCCTGCTGGCGGGCGGCGGCGCGGGCCTCGGGGCGCTGGGAGCGGCGCTCCTTGATCACATCGAGCGAAGCACCAACGATGGCACGCTGGGCCTTGACGGTGCGGCGGGAGCGCTTCTTGGCGACCTCCTGTAGTTGTTCAATCACGCATTAGCCCCTGTCGACGGATATTCTGCTCCTGCGCAGCCCATCAAAGCTTCGGCGCCGCCTCGTCCTGATGCCCATCTCCAATTGCGGTGCGGATCCGGTGTCGACTAACCTCAGAGATACCCTTCTTGTGCTGTCTCCTGTAGAGAGTGGTCCAGGCAATGCGGCGGGGGTTCTTGCGCTGGAGGAACAGGCTCTCGGACTTGCCGCACTGGAAGCGGAAGATCTTGCTGTCGCCACGGACGTAGAGCTTGCCCTGTACTCGCAGAAAGATAGGCGTCAGCGAATGTGTCCCGACGTGAGCGCAGCGGGGGCGGTGCCGCCTCTGCTCGTGCCGTCGGGGCGCGGCGGAAATGTCGCGGACGGTCGACGCAGCGCTGGGCGCGGGGAAAAACCACGCACCTTGCCCGGGTAGATCTTCTGGCCGCTGAAGGTGTCGTCGTAGGTCCGCATGTTGACGGTGTTGCGATGATGCGGTACCCGTGGAGTCGCTGTGTCGTTAGTTCTCGATGTCGTCGGCGACCAGGTGTGCTAGAATTTGGGTAAGCGGACGTTTGTGCGGCGGAGGAACATCGGCCCGTCATCTGATTGGCGGGAGACGCGCACTTGCGTTTGCGAGGCCTTGGCAGCCGATCATCAACCTCATCTCCTTCTCACCCACTACTCCGCCTGCTATTACTTCCCTGTCAAGGCCAGAAACACGCCGTCTAGCTTCGCAAAGCGGCCGCTCTCCAGTTTGCACCTGAAGTGTGCCAGTCAGACCATCTTACACTCACGTGACTTCAATTTTATTGCATTCCACTAATCCTACGCCTAGTCTCTGGAAAAGGCGTCCTCTTGACGCCGTTTGAAGACCTCTATCGCCGATTGAAACTCGGTTTCCCCCTTGGTATTCCCTTTCGTAGTCGTCGTTTCACACCAGCATCAATGTGGCTTGTCCTTGATTTTGCAGCAAAGCCCACCAGTAATATCCAGAAACCCAATCCTACTCCAACTTCTGATCAAATGCAACTTCAACCCTTCAGAGCTTTTCGATCAAGAACAGCGCGCTCGGCTCAACCAAGTGACCATGGAAGCCTGGAACAGCGCATCAACGTGCCATCGAAAACGTGGAGAAGAGAAAACTTACGCTCCATGGACCTGGCCCTCAGCTCTCTTAGGTGGGGTGTGCAGATGTTGACCCCCAGTCTGGTCTGACAGCGCATGCAGCCTTGGATCACACACCACTCCTCGCCTCTGCACCTACTACCGCAGATCGTGCATAGGACGTAGCCGCAATCTTCACAGATGTTTTCCACTCCCATCTTCTCGCAGCATCCCCACATTTGGTCGTCCGAGGATTCGTGTGTCGGGCGCCAGCACTTGAGGTCAGACTTCGTTGTGTATGTCTTCTTGCGCACGCGCACGTGCTGGAGTTGGAAGGCGGGGTGGGTCCTGATATCTGGCTTGGGCAGCGCGCGCGCGCGCAGAGCCAGGATGCGGGCTTTCTCGCGAACCGCCGGCGGAGTCTGGGGAGACCGTTTCGACTGCGGGCTCTGTTGCTGCGGGCTCCTTTGCTGTGGACTCTGCTGCTGTGGGCTCTGCGGCGGCGGGCTCTGTGGCGGCAGGCTCTGCAACGAGCTTTGCCGCGGGGTGAGCACCTGCGTCTGCGGCTGACAGCTCGGATCTGATGCGTTGTTCTCAATGCCGTGCGACTCAGCGGCTGGAGGAAACTGCTGGGTCGGATCGGACGAGGTGTACTTGACGTGCGACTCGGTAGGTGTAATAGGCTCCGGCTCCTCCTTCAAGCTTGGCTTTGTAGACTTCCTACCCGAGAAGTCTTTCGTGATCTTTTGCTTCCAGTCCTGGAACTCGGAGAGCCTTTTCTCCATGTAGCTGTCGTTGGAAGTCTGAGTGGATGAACGCGGGCGCAAGGACGTGTGGCTCTGAGGCAGTTCGCTCGATGGTGGTGACGAGCTCTGCTGCTGCGACGGTACTTGCTTCGGTATCGAGGCCTTCGCCTTCGCCGCCCATGCGCGTGCGAAGGTGATGCCCAGGCCGTCCATGTTGAGTGACTTCGTGAACGTCACGGTCCTCGGGTTGGACGCTTGGGGGGGCTTGTTGCGTTGGGTGTAGAGTTTTGGTCGTGGTTGAAGGTAGTGTCGCGAAATAAAGGGTTTGTCGCTGAAGGAGTGCCTGCCCTGGTTACGGGAACGGCAGGTGCACACTGACAGGCATTCACTCTATGGTTTGCCATTTCGAGGCATTGGAATTCGGCACTTGCCTGCAGGATGCCATTCCTGTGTACAGCACGCGCCCACCCCTACCTCTATTCGAAACCGGCCCACAGATCGTGTAGAGCAGGATAAAATGTCAAATCCACGAATGATCCTGACACTCGTGTTGCCGATGCCAATTCTTGGAGCGGTTGCGCCTCATAGTCCATCCGAACCCAGCGCACAGCGTTTCCAGCGCTTGAGAAACTACAAGAACTTGATACGGCGATTAGGTACCATTGAAAGTTTTCACTCTTGGCTGCACTGTTGATCTCGGACCAAGCTCTATAACCAGAGCACAGGCATTATCTTTGCCAATGAAATGATTCTTGATTGTGCCAACGGTCACACTGGCTCGTAGCTCTTGAGCGAAGTACCTGACCTCCTTCATTGGCAAATAATGCCTTCATCTATCGAACAGCAGCGTGAATCCACTGCAAGGGAATCTCGGTCAAGCGAAGCATACCCGTAACGCCGTATGTAGCCTACCGGGAAATGGGTGTGTCTATAGTCAACCGTTATCCATCACTCATCAACATCGGTAACGCCGCTTCCGCCAGCCTAATGTACGCGGGCCGCTCATGTATTTGCCAACATTTAGTCTGCGCCGTGCTCTGCTGGTCTTCGCTCTCATTGCGACGGCTTGGCATAGGTCTGAGTCCACTCGCGAGCGGTGGCAATGGCAGCGTTCTGGTCCTCCTTCCAGCGCTGGGCAACGTCGTTGGCAAGCGGATCGTCAGGGTTAGGGGCACCAAGCAGAGCCTGGATGGAGAGGAGGATGGTGCGGATCTGAAGAGCCGGAGACCAGTTGCCTGGAGCCGAGTTAGCGCTGTGGCGATGGAGTAACAGCAGGCAGGGAGGCACGACTCACTCTTCAGGACATCAAGGCAAATGCGGCCCAGCTTGTCGATGTTGGGGTGGTAAATCTTGGTCAAGAAGCGCACCTTCGGCGGAGTCATGGGGTAGTCGTCAGGAAGGAACAGCTCGAGCTTGAAGACGCCGCCTGGTGGGCACGCGGTTAGCTTAGAATTCCCCCCCGGAATGGATGCATCCCGGCGCTCAGCGTTAGTCGTCCAAAGCTCGGGTGGTGAACCCGGGTACTCTGCGCATGTGCTTATCGCCTTGCTGAAGAGGGCTGGAGACGTACCTTCGTAAGGCGACTGCGAAGGACCGTGGACGGTCACGTCGAAGTAGCGGAGGTTGTCCTCGTGCGGGACAGCGCTGATGCCGGGGACCCTGTTTTTCGCGTAGCTCAGTACCGCGCGTGCAGCAAATCCTTTCCGAAGCACTTACGGCTCGGCCATCAGACGCTCCGTCTCCTTCACAATACGCTTGGGGAGCGCCATGGCAAACGATCAGATCGCGGCGGGTATGGTTGTGGTGCGGCGGCGGCGGCGGCGGACGGGAGTTCGAGGGGCGTTGGGAGCGCTGCAACAAGCGTCGCGTGGTGGCGGGGTGAACAGCGCAGGAAAAGTGCGGGTGCGCGTGGAGGGCGAGGCCTTGGGAGGGGCTCTTGGGCGTTTGCTGCTCTTTGGCAGGGCTGCCGCTCGTCATCACCCAACACCCCACGTCCACCGCGCTCGGCACTTCCCGCCTCTTGCATCACCCGCACGCCAAAGAACTGCCCTCCCCAGATCGCGCCCGCCGCCGGTTGCGCATCTCCCGTCCTCCGCACCCACCTCGCGTTCCCCTATGCCGCAGCCCGCTGCGCTGCCTCAATTGGGCGTGGCACCGCGCCATGCACCCGCACGGTGATAGCTCGCCCTTCGACAGCCCTACCTTCGGTCGCGATGCATCCATCCGCGTCGACGAGCCCGTTGGCTCTGCCTCCATTTCGCCCAGCAGCCGCGACATCGTGCTCGCGTCGCGGGAAGGGCTGCACATCATAGACCTTGACAACCCCTACTCGCCGCCCCGTCACCTCGCCCACCGCACCCTGTGGGAGGTTGCCGACGTGCAATGGTCGCCCTTCGCGAGCCACGACGGTCTGGTCGCCAGCACGTCGAACCAGAAAGCCCTGATCTGGGACCTGAACCATGCCAATCAGCCACCGCTGACCCTTCATGCTCATGCGCGTGCCATTACCGACATCAATCTCTCCGCACATCACCCGGACATCCTCGCGACCTGTGCTGTCGATACCTTTGTGCATAAGTGGGATTTGCGCGCTCCCGACAGGCCTGTGTTCTCGTATGCGCAATGGGATGGAGGCGCCGCGCAGGTCAAGTGGAACAGGCAGGATCCTCATATCCTGGCCTCTGCCCATGACAAGTTGCTCTGCATCTGGGACGAGCGCAAAGGTGTGGAACCTCTCCGCACCATTGAGGCCCACAAGAGTAAGATTTATGGTGTCGATTGGAACCGCATGCACCAAAGCGGCGTTCTGACCTGCTCACTGGATGGCTCCATCAAGTTCTGGGATTATACTCTCGAGGAAGACGAGATGCTGGAGCGTGTCATCAGGACGCCCTTTGGCGTGTGGCGAGCGAGGCACACTCCCTTTGGATGGGGTGCGCTCGCCATGCCCCAACGAGGCGACTTCGATTTGCACCTCTACGACCGGAGGTCGCATGACGGCGTCAAACTGGATTCCAGAGTCAGCCCAGCCCACACGTTCAAGGGCCACAATGGTCAAGTTAAGGAGTTCCTATGGAGAACGCGTGGCGATGTTACGGATGATTGCTACGACCATCGTGAATTTCAACTTGTATCATGGGGCAGTGATCGCCAGCTGAATTTGTATCGCATCGACTCATCTATCCTCGGCTCGGTTGGATACAAGAAGGGTGAGAAGACGCGCCAGAAGCTGTTCATGACGCGGCAAGGTGCTCTGTACAAGACTTTCCACGACGAAGCCCCTGTCTCAACTCCACAGACGAAATTGGCCGATCAGCAGGCTCATCCTTTTACTGCGCCCAGCCAGCTCAGTGCTCTCTTCCAGTCTGCCGGCATGAGCAAGCCCAGCCTACCGTATGCTCAAACGGCCTTCCAAGGACCTGGTGCTAGCGCTCGAGACCGTGGTTTAACGTCCATGCAAGCCCGCGGTTTGACGACTATGCAGGCTCGCACTCGTGAGAAGAAGACTGTGGACAAGCTCACCTGGATGCAGGGAGTCAAGATTGGCGGACGTGACGGTCAATTCAATCGTCATGGCTCCAGGCCTGATGTATTCTCACCGGATCAGCAGCTGCTGTGGGATTCACCCGAGAGTCTTGGAGACGAAATCACGCACGTGGGCAGCAAGTTCAAGAAAGTCAAATTCGAAGAGGTTGAAATTCCTCGCCGGACTGCAACAGTCACACTGAACGGCCCATGGGGCGAAAACGACACTCCGGTCTTCATGAGAATCAGCATCCGGTTTCCACCAGATTACCCTGTCTCGGCAACCCCTCACTGTAGCATTGAGAAAACAACCTCATACATTTCAGAGGCCACAATCTCCAAACTGGACAGCGAGATCAAAGCGCTCGCTGAAGTATATAAGAACCGCAAGAGAGGGTCTCTGGATGCTATCATCAGCTACCTTCTCGGAGAGCGGGGTCTCGAAGAGAGCATCAGTTGGCTTTCTGATGGTGCTCTCACGGACAGTGTCACGCAGGATGAAGACAGCTCCAGTGACGAAGAAGACGAGGTGGGAGCAGACTTTGCAACACCCGCCATGGAGATGAGCGGCACGGATATCCTTGGGCCCCTCAATGCGAACGCCAACGTTCCTCTTCCGTGCCAATGCGGTGCTGCTTGGTCAAGTGATGGCCGCCTGGTCACCTTCTTTCCACCAAAGCCCGAACCTAAGCCCATGTTCTCAAACCTCGAGGCTTTGCGAAACGATAGTCGCACATACAAGAGCAAGAGAATCTTCGAGATGTTAGGTCAACTGAACAAGGAATCTCCAGACCCTGGCAGGAAGTCCTCTTCAGCCGTCGATAATCCAGATGACAGCGACTCCCAGGGTTCATGGGAAACTTCATCCAGCTCCTCATCCGGCTCACCTGTGCGTGGAGGTCTATCTGGAATAGCACCACCGGTCGCATGGCGCGGTGGCCCGTTGAAGTTCCAGCGGTCTTCGCAGCACTCGAGCGCTGGCTACGACGCGAAGCCTATAACCGCTAAGCCAAAGTCCATCATCGCCATACGCAGTCTTGAGGATCTGCTTCCCGCAAAGAGGGAGCTCGCCGAACGATATGAAGTCTTTGGTGAAGCTGCCGATGTTTGCTCACACAACGCTGAAGTGGCGAGAGACTGCGGCTACGCCGAGCTGGTCGACATCTGGAACCTTATTGGCCTTATCATTGCGGATCAGGTGCCGTTGGAGGTCATGCAGCAAAGCTACCGCCGCGAACCAATTTTAGTGGTGGCAAAAAGGACAGCGGTTCAAATTCGCAAGAAAGACAGCGGTCTTGACCTGAGTTTCGATGAACCCGAGGCTATTGCCAAACCAAAACTGAAGAGCCGTGTCAAGTGGGGCCATCATCCATTTGGCAAGGTGCTGGTGCAGCGTCTTTTTGAACACTTTGAGAGGCTCGCCGACAGCCAGATGCTGGCTATGCTTTCGTGCATGTTCCACGAGCCAGCAGCGAGTGAGGGCGTAACTACTGGTATGATGATGCGCAATCCACATGCAGACCTGCATCTCTCCATGAGGACACCTGCGTTTTCTCTGGACTATTTTCCCTCCAAAGAGGTTGCTGCGAGCTTGTTCAAACCAAAGTTCTCCTTCACGGATCAATACGACAACGGCCACTTCCATCCGAACATAGGCCACGATGCAGGATTGTCTAAATACGACAAGCGACTGAATACTTTTGGTTCTGCAGGGTCTTCAAACGGTCCATGGGGAGGCGATTTGCCCAGCGGGCCCACGACGCCCTACTCGACCGGAGACACGCCGCCTCCTACACTCTCACGTTCTAGTACCTTTCGCTCTGCATCTAGCGCCTACGCAAGCTTAGCGTCATCGCCCGAGCGCAGTAAGCGCAGTGGCACACCATTCACTAGTGCCTTGACATCCTTCTCACGGCCCTTTCAAACCGCAAACAACTCACCTCCAGCTCGCCAACGGACTCGAACCTTTGAGGGAGACCTCTCTACTTCTGCACCGGAAAAGAGCAGCGTAACCTGGGGCCCGAATACGGTATATGGAGGCGCCTCCACCGGCTCCAACTCTTCTTCTGTACAGCGCTCTAATAGTAGCAAACGTAACCGCGCGACTACACAGACAGCAAACGAACAGCAACGATTTGTTTCTTTTGATAGCATCGATGAGACCACTGACGAACCTGATTTCGACGACGACGATGACTTCTACCCTAACTTCGAGGATGATAAAACGGATATTGCACCAACTGATCGCAACTCTGATGGCAGCATGGTCCAAGTCACACTCAAAAATCAGGACCAGTTTGATGACGATGGCTATCTGTCAGTTCCGTTGTTGGATCAGGAACATGCTTGGATGTACGCTGCTTATCGCGCAAGCTATGCCAACAACCAACTGGCTGGATGGGGACTGCAGGTCAAACGGAGCGAGGTCCTGAAGTACAACGGTCTGACAAGCTATTGGGCCAAAGATGAGGTTCACGACGCACACGAAGAGGATTTGGCTGTAGGCCGTAGCCAGGAAAGCAATGGTACAAGGGTAAGTTTTCTCGCCTCCACACTCTCACTCATTCGACGTACCCACTCCCATTCCCCTAACAATGATTTTCTTGGATGCGCCTCTTGTCTAATCACCTAGAAAAACTCAACAGTCCTCGACCATAATCCCTGACGACCTCGTACTCTGCCCGCTGCCCCTGCCACCGTTTTCCGGCCCTCCCACAAGCAGCACGACCCCCTACAGTTCCGTCACCCACACCCGCACGCAAACTCCGGACCCCTCCCACCTCTTCCAGCTCGCCGGTGGCAGTGGCGGTGGCGATAACAACTACAACAACACGGCAAGCAACCAACAACATGCCCCAACCAACAGCCATCACCATTACCACCTCCCCAACCCCTTCGCACACCACCACCCCTCTTCCTCCTCCGTCGCCGTGCACCACTACCCATCCACCACACCGCTCCCCACGCGCCCTCCCTCCACCAAATCCAACTGGTCCGCCTCGCCGCCGTCGCACGACAAACAACCAAACGACCACGACGGCGTCGGCGTCGGCGTCGGCACGTGGTCTTCGACCACCACCACCACCACAACAACAACAACAACAACAACAGCATCAGCCTCAGGCTTCGGCACAGCAACATCAACCACAGCGGACCTCAACGGCGTTGCCAATGCCGTCGCCGGAGCCGCTGCTGGCACCACATCATCACCATCAGCATTGGAGGGAGGCGGACCCCCTCATTGCGGGGCAAGGACGTGCATGGTGTGCTGGCTGCAGCTCGACGGCCTGTATCGCACGTGCGCCGAGTGCGGGCACGCGGTGCATGCCGAGTGTGGCGGTGAGGCGGCTGATGGTAAGGGGGGGCGCCGTCGCGGCGGCGGCGGGGGGTTGCTGGGAGATGGTGGTGGTGGGTTTGGTGGGGTGTGTTGGCATTGTGGTGGGTGAGTGAGTGAGTGAGTGAGTGGGTTTGGTGCAATTTCTTGTGGGGAGGAGGATGATGGTGATGATGATGAGGGAGAAGAGAGGATTAGGAGCGGTCGGAGGCGGCGGCGGATGATGAGGTGGATGGAGGTAGCGAGAAAGAGGGGGCGGGAACGCAATCGGAGTGAGGGGGGATGAAAAGTATTCACTTCTTTTCTTCGTTGTTTCATTATTATTATTATTCTTTGGAAACGTTGTACGTGAAAAGTTGGGGGTTTGTTTGAAGGATGGGGCTCTGTTGGAATAATTCTGCTCCATGGCTGCTTTCTTATAGACGTGCCGTAATTGGCTGCCGAGACTACGATTTTCTGTTGATAAGAATAGATACCATCATGGCTTGTTCCTTTGATCTTTTTCTCGCGCATCTCACCAAGTGGTCTTTCGTTGTTGCCGTTGGTTATTTGTAACGGGGCAGCAGGAAAGCGATAAGACGTCTTCTTGTGTTGGTATTGTGGCAGGGTGGATTACTGACTTTCGGATCGGGCGGGTGTGTACGGGGATGGTGGCGTCTAAGCAGCGCATCTACTGCTTTGCTTGTGGAGCCATCGGTGATTAGTTTCAGGTAGAACGACCGATGGTAATGCTTAGATGTACAGAAGGCGAAGCGCTTTTTCGACTATCAGTACAGATTACGGACATGATGTCTGAGTCAGAGCGTTTGTACTGGGGTGTTGTGTTCAAGATATCTTCGGAGTTATTGTTCGGGCATTCGTACGCTGGTGAGATACGACGCGTCTGTTAAACGCATTCACTCGAGACATCAGGTCACGCTCTCTTCTGGACCACTTGACTGAGAGGCACGCAACGGGCATGAATTGACTAGCCGTGCAAGTGACACGCAAGGAACCAACGCGCAAAAGCAAAGCCGACTAGAGCAGGTTACGCCATTGATATGCATCCTTCGTTCCAAAGCGAAAAAGATTCCGTGAAACACGATCTCGTTCAAGTCCTTGAACGGGGATTATCTCAAGATGTTGCCACCCCGGAGAAATCCCGTTCTCTATGGCGAGAGCGTGCCGTTAATCTTCCCAGTTCTGGTCCAGAGTCATATGGATGTTGTTTTCGGTTTGTCGGAGGAGATAATCCCATTTGAGTGCGAAAGAGCAGATCGTATAGTTCGGCCCGTTCGATTGAATCCTTTTTTTGATCGTAAACCGCAGAAAACCAAACCGTTCCCATTCAGAGCTCCTCCATTATCCCAGAAGTCGCTCCATCATGCCGCCACGGCGAGGGTGTCGGTTGGGTTGTTTACGAAGTGGGGTTGGGGTTCATCTGCCTCTTGTTAGGATCGGGGGGAGGTTTCTTGTTGGGGTTTCGGCGTGGCGAAACTCACCTTCCTCTTGCCACCGGTCATGGTGACGTTGACGAAGCGGCGAGTGTACTTTATCCTCTTGAGGGCACGGCCCTTAGGGTTCTTCTTCTTCTCCTGGGGCTCGACCTGTTGTATGCAAACTTGATCAGCATCCAGTCGTTCTGGTGTCTCCATGGTCCAATCCGCTGCGCATCTTCCTGCGTCGCCCGGTGGCGACTCCTTTTCTCCGTCCATCTCCAAGCCTGTCTCGTCGGGTTTTCCGTTTCGGGGCGTGCGGGGTGTATCGTACCTTGGGGGTCTGAGACTTGACCTTTCCGGCACGGGCGAGAGAACCGTGAACCTTACCCATGTTGGCGACTGTTGGGTGTTGCTAACGACGTCGGTTGACTACGAGGGAAACGGAGTGGCAAGTCAGCTTTCGGCGCTTGTCGGGGCGTGCGAGCGGATGCAACGGCGTCGCAGCAGTGCACCAGAGTGGCAGCAGCGCTGGGACGATGCGGCGGGCGGACTTACAGATGGGCGCGTTGGCGTAGTCGTCGGTGAGTGGTGTCGTCGTTGGCGGGCGTGAGGTCGAAATTGGCGCTGTGGATGAGGAGCGCTCGCTTACTCGGCAAAACAGCGGCGCTACGCCCAATGTGGCAGCCACGGCAGCCTGGGGAAGCGGCCACGCATTTGTCTGGCTGACGGTCACACCTGGTAACCTTGAGTGGCCTTTGGCTAGGCTTATCGGATATTAAGACAAGGCGCGCGCCCTCGTTGTGTGGCTGTCAAGACCGGCTTTCCTCAACATCATTCGCATTTCGCCTGCAATTTTCCATGGTCGCTCCGCCCAGCATGCGCGGATCATGTGCGCATGCCGCTTGACCCAATCTTAGCTCCGTTATCGCCAGTTATCTGATCGGTCACATCACCGATCATGCGCGAGCTCCCGCCGGGCTACCTCTGACACAGCTCCTCCAACCCCTCAGCTCCTACAGCTCCATTCCCACCTTCCACTACTGAGCAGCTCATAGCAACCTCTCACCATGCATCTGATCCGCGCAGTTGCCGCCTCGCTCTTCGCCGGCCTCGCCAGCGCCTCGCTCGTCCCCGCACCACAGCACATCTTCGTGAATCCTGAAGACGGAGATGCCTCCAGCTACCGCATCCCGACCGTCCACGAGTCGGCCGTCATGGCCCGGAGGATCCTGCACCTAAGCGGGCTCGGCACACTGTCGACTGTCTTCCCAAGCAACGAGAAGCAGCAGCACCAAGACCCAAGCACTGCGGAGAACCGACCGTCCGACGTGGGCGGCACGCCGATCGGGCTCATCGACTACATCGCCGACTGCGAGCACGCCACGGGCAACCCGACCGTCCTAGCCATCGGCATCGCGACGAGCTTCAAGAACGTCGCCGCCGGGTCCAACATCTCGCTGGGGCTCAACTGGGTCCCGCCCAAGGGCCAGGTCCACTCGCCCGCCAGCCTGCCGCGCTTCTCGCTGCAGGGCTACCTCGAGGACCTCGGCCCCGAGGACATCGTCAAGCATGCAATCCCCGCCTGCTTCGCCAAGTACCACCCTGATGCCGTGGCGTGGTATCCTGGAAACCCGATTCATTCGAGTCGTTGGGTCAGGTTTGTCGTGCAGGAGGTCTACTGGATTGGCGGGTTCGGTGATAGGGCCTACATTGGCTGGATCCCCGTCGAGGAGTGGCAGAGCGTGACCAGGCAGGAAGTGCGGGACTGCGTGCTGCCCGGCGAGGAGAAGAGGAGTGCCTGGAGGGAGTGGCTGGGGCTTGGAAGTGGCTGGGAGCTCTAAGAGCGCCGGCGAAACTTATGTGTTGATGAGGTATGAGTGATGGTTTGGAATGAGTTGTGGCGAGGCGGAACCGTCTTTGGCCTATTGACGGTAATGACGGTGTACAGATGTCGTTCCTTGACTATGGCAGTTGGAGTTTGATCGAATTGCTTGCGGACTCATCTACACCCTGAGTTCAATGCTGTCTCTTAACTCTCCTTCTCTTTCAAAATTGACTGGTTTGTTTGGGACGTTTGAGCTTTATGGGCTATAGGTCAATTATGCAACCAGTAGATCTAAGTGAATAACAATACAGGTATGAAACTGCTTCTAGATCCCATACGTCACCCAAAGCAGTAGCTCCAGGTATATTATCGACATATAGATATTTTAACAGTGAAATATCTAACGGAGGTCTACGTTGAGTGGCCGATAGATGGACCGTAGATAAACATGGACACGGTAAACTGTAGCTTTTAATTAAGCCCACACCCGTCTCTTTCACAAGAATATTATTCCATCGTATCTACGTCGATGTCTTAGACATTGGTTTCAACTACACGGGTAAGTCTTGGAAGCAGCCAGCTTCGTCCGATTTCAGATTATACTACCCGCTAAGGAAGAAGGGAGTGTTCTCAGCGGAGCTCAGAGGGCTGAAATCTTCTGTTGTATGTTGCGAAGACTACATTGACGCGGCTAGGGCACGCTAACCGTATTAGGAAGAGAAGCAGATAGCGGGGGCATCGCCAACATTCATCGTGTTTTTCGGAAGACACGGAAAGCTCCTACAACTAGCGTATCGTGTTTCTTGGGAGATACTTACTAAGTATGTATACAAATTCTGACCGACGCTGGAAGTTAATGTTATCAAAGTCACCGCTCCGGCAACTTTTCAATCGAACAAATCTCTTTTCGAGGAGTAAAGTTGAAGCAAACGGGTACATTGAGACTTCAACGTGCGGGAAACATATTCTGGCATTCTGGACCGCTATTATGCTCATGAATACCACTGTGTCTTGTCAACGAATCACCCATCTTTGAAGTGTGCAAGAGAAGGATGTAAGCAACAAGAAGCAATCAGCTGACGATGCTATCCTGTGTGGATCTTAAGAGGCACCGCACCGACTTTGCAAGGATGACTCGCGAGGACGTAGAAGAGGAATGGGCGAAGGCTCCCAGTCGTTAAAGTTGCCCGTCTACAGTATAGCGGAATGGGGCCACAACCCTTTAGCTGGAGTCGTCTAAGGCCACTTTGAGGATGGCTTCACACGTAGAACAACCAGACAAAGTAGTCATAAATAGAGCATAGCTATACGTAAGTCCCGGGATCCTGCACAAAGATGTCTGCACAAACTTGAGTGAAGTAGATCGACGCACTAAGCCAGCCTAGTTCCAGAATCCTTCGGGCAGTCGATCATCTCGCTTCCCACAACCTCACGTCAATCCACAGCCACAACCCACTTAGTATTCAGCTGATCGCCAGACAAAACCGACGAGCGGTCCCTATTTCTCTGCGACGCCGGCCGAAGCACGCGAGAGAAAATCAAAACGCACCAACAAAAGCCACAGCCGGCTCACATACCCCTTTGCGGCCCTCCGTCCACGCGCTTGCGAGAAGTCAGTTGCCTATAGCTCCCTTTAGTCAATACAAACCTCCCTTACTCCGATGCCCTTTCCCGTCCACCTCGTGCTCATCCTCTTCTGACCCTGTCAATCATCCTTCTCCCTCCCTGTCCACACACACACCACGGTCCCCTCTCGCCCAATCCCCCCCTCCTTTCCACCCTCTCCACCAACATCGAAAAACTCGCCTAAACCCCTTTTCGTCTAACCGCGCCAACCAACCCCCGACGAAACCCCCCCAATCGGGCTTGATCCCGGCCGGATCCTCGCAAGCCATCCCGAAGCGGTCCGCCCCATCCGGGCGTCACCGGCGCCCGCGCGCCCTCCCCCCCTCTGTACATCGTCTTCCCACGTCCATCAATAATCGACCGATCGCCAGGAAATCCCGTCCCCTTTGTCCGGCCCCCCCACCATCATGCGATTCCCACTAGTCCTCAACAAAAACGGGAATAGAGACGCCAAGTGCCTCGGACAATGCTCCGCTACGCTGCCGTCCAATGATGTCCGATTGCGTTAAACCCTGCTAGGTGGGGATGACGTGCGTGCGTGTCTCAGAAGATCGGAGTGAGGACGGATGTTTTTTGTAGAGGACGATGCGGGGCACATGGATGACTGAGAGGGAGGAGCCGCCCCGGTGGACGAGTGAGAAAAAAAGGAAATTGTGTGCGTGAGAAAGAAATGGTTGTTTTTGGAGAAGCCACTGTATACCACCCTGCGAATTTTGCTTTCTGTCTCCTCGCTCTTCTCTCGCAGTGAACAAGGTATGCACAAGGGGCCGAAACGTGTGGGAGGGTAATGGAGCACCCGCAAAACCGTGGTCTGGGAGCGAGAGCCGTAGCTCGTCCGAGCAAGTCACGCAGTTTTCTTTTTTTCCATTCCACCCGCTTACCGCCTTGTATATACACTGGCCGGCCAGTTGGCGATTAGCGAAACGTGCATGAGTGAGGACAGAAGCAAATGAAGCATTCTTGCGGTTCGTCGACCCGTACGGATGGGACATAGATCGGAAGATCAGACAGGGACGACACGGGAAGTGTCGGAGACGAACGAGAGAGAAGGAGTGAGGTGTCTCAACACTCACCGCCTGGTGCTGGAACGCTGAATCGAAAGAAAAAGAAAAGGAACAACAATGCCAGGCTGTACATACGTGTCTCCCTTGTTTGCCCGAGTGGAGTTATATCCGTTAGCGAAAGAAGGCAACGAGCACAACAGTTCGGGATGCGACACGCATGATGGCGCAGAGCTGGTGCACACATGCGCGGTGAGAATGCGGGTCACCGAAAACGGAGCACGAGCTGGGGGGCAGGTTGAGAGAATTTTTGGAATGCTACGGAAGACGGTGTGTTTGAAAGGTAAGCACGATGCGATAGATACATCGAAGACATCATGGAAGGAGCAGAGTAGGTACCGCAAGCGCGGTTCGGCCCTGCAGATCCGCCGCCTCTCCGCATGCCGAGGCCGCTTTTTTCTTTTTTGTCGATTTTGTTTTTTTCCCCCAGGCCATGTGGCGGCTACCGTGCTCGACGCCCACGACATGCAATTAACTGTATCTGAGACGGCCTGTACGACGGCGAGGCGGAAACAAGAGGCAGCATCCACACGGCTTGTTCATGCAAAGACGGGAGCGAGTCGGCTCCATCCGACGCGCTGGATGGACGGCGCATGGAGCCTTCCAGGCTGGCCGGAAGGAGCAACGACAGCCTACCTGAAGAGGGAGGATCCGCCGTGTGGCTTGCGACGCGTGGTGATGTGTGGGGAGGCTAAATTCTAAGCGCGGCAGATAGCCCGCAAGCTCTTCAGCAGCACGCGGAAACAGCGGTGAGGGCGCGTGCAGTCGACGACCGAGTAAGGTCGGCTCGCGACGATACGTGTATATTGTGGAGAGGAACGGGGCAATATGCGTGTGCGAGGTCAGAACAGGTTTGGGCTGGGGTCGGGTGCTGAGGCTGTGGCAGTCAAGTGGCGACGTGCATTTCGGCGATGACGGCGGCTTGACGAAAAGACTGTTGTTGACTCCGTGAGCCCAGTTATCGACCGATAATTCAGGTGCTATAGCCGATCGGCGGAGTGCTCATGTCCATCTCAATGGCTGTACGGGGAGCAGGAGAGCGCGCGCGTCGAGGAAATGAGGTGCTCAATAATGCTGGAGCGGCCGGCAGGGCATCCGCACAGAATGACACGGCGAGACCAGCTGCTGCCAACTGCCGCGAGAGCCGTATATTACCGAAAGAGGTAAGCTACTAGAAACATGGCCCGAACGGGTTAATGCTGGCCGAGCTCGACGTGTCGGCGCCTGGCTCCGCGCCCATCCCACGCCCACCGCGAGCGTCGCGGCGCTTTGACGGCTGTCAAAAGATAGCCTCGCCGTCGCTCGCCCTGCGTGCCTGCCCCCCAAAGCCGTGAGCTAGCGCGCGCTTCCGCGCCGATTTTGCGCAAGACGCGAGACGCACCGACGTGCGGTTAGTGAAGATCAAACCGCCCAAGCCCCGTAGCGCGACAGCTAGAGCAGGAGAGCCGTGTTTGCCCACACCTCGGCGAGCGACGACAAGCCGCGCGAGAGCCCGCCCTTGCTATTTCCGCGGCACCCGGCCATGACCCTGACTCTCGTGTCGCCGGCGCAGTCCGTTTTGGAGCGCGGCGGTGATGGTGATGGGCACGCCTCGTGGCTGGAGAAAACTAAGTCTGGCCCGCCTGTGGGAGATCGCACGGAAGATGTGCTCGGAAAGGGTTAAGAGGGTGCGCGACGCGCGGGAATTGGCAGATCCAGCGCATCACCTCGATGTTTTCTTTTGGCCCACCGGCGGGCGACTTGCTGGCTACCGGCGCGCGGCAGGCTTCCTGCATGCTCCTGCGACGGCTCGCGTCCCTCAGTCCCCTGGCCGCTGGAGCTTGCCGTGCGCGCTGCCTCGCGAGGCCGGGCGGGGGGCAGCGCTCCTCCGTGCCTGGTGCCTGTCCGTCCGACGTCGTTGTCCCTCCCGCCCCCACCGCCGCCGGTCAGAGGATGATGCGCCCATCTCCGCCCGGGTCCCTGGGTGCGAGCCTTGGGGCCACGCAGGGCAGCGCAGGGCGGCGCAGGGCAGCACGACCAGGGGCGCGTGCCATGTTCACCGCCTCGTCAAGCGAGCAGCAGGCCCAGCGGGACGGCGGCGGCTCTTGCTAGGCGGCGAGCTGGCGCGCATCGCGCGTGGGCGGCGTCAATCTTGACCCGAGTCGTTCCCGAACCCGCTTGCCGGCCGGCGGGCCAGCCATTGTGCCTGAGGCACGCACGCGAGGCGGCTTGTTGGGGGGGCAGATTTCAGGGGAGCGCGAGGCCGGGCGGCGGATGATTGCTGGCTTGGGGTTACGTGTCGCGGCGGCGAGCGCGCTGAATCGTGAATCGTGAATCGCCCACCTGTCGTCGAACGGGCCCAGGGTCCAGCAGAGAAGGAGCGGCGAACATTTTTCGGTGGGCGTCGTGCGTCGGCAGCTGCGCGCTGGCGCGTAGCGGAGCGACGACGAGTGGGGAGGCGCCGCTGCAGGCTGTTGATCGCGTGCAAATCACGTATGTCATAGCCAGCGAATCCTCGCCGCGCGGCGGTGAAGAAGGCAGACGATGCAACCACAGCTCCACCGCGTGCTGGCGCCGCTAGCACCGATCCTCTCCCGCCTGCAGATTCCCCAGGTTAGTCGCCCTCGAATGCGCGCAATTAGGTAACACTGCAGAGATACGCGTGCCGGCATCAACGACTTGCTATTCCGAGCTCTACGGGTAAGCGTGCGGCCTATACTACACAATAATAACGATCGGTATATGGTGGAACAACTGGAGAAAAGCTACCCGCGCGTGCCTGATGGCCAAGGACCAGGCAATCCATCTGTAGCAGAGCGATGAGACCCGCCGCGCACCTCTGTTGGCGCATCCGGCGGGATCAATCGGCGGCGCCCAGGGCCCCGTCGATGAAGGGTGGTGGAAAACAGTAGATAAAAACACACTGGGAGGGGGAGGGAATTTAAGAGTAGCTACAACATCGACCGTCTCCGCCGTGGCAACGCCGGGCCAATGCAAAGGGTGTAGAGAAAAACAGAGCGAAAGAATCGAACAGATGAAAAGTGACTACCTCCGCTTGAACGCCCATGCCGAGGAAAATTAAACGCCGGGGGAATGATGCAAGTGGTATAAAGCGTGGATGAGGAAATCGCTCGGTCGAGCAGCCGCCGTGTCGCGTTCGATGAGACCATTACTGTCCTCGCTGCAATTGCCGCGCAGAGCTCTTCCCGCGCTCTGCCGCCCTAAAAGGCTCTGCGAGGGAGGGGGGCACGGGTGTGTTCGCCCCCACGTCGCTGTGATGGAGAAGCTCTCCCACTTTGACTCTGTGGCCTGAAGACTTTCGGCCGTGGACCAATGCCCCTGAAAACACCCGCTTCTATCCCTTTTTTGTTTTGATAACTTTTCGCGCACGTCTCATTCAAAATCCGTCCGTTGCTGTACATGTACAGTTCTTCCCGTGTGCCGCGTGGAATCCTGCCGCGTCGAGAAGAAGTCATCATCGCGATCATGATCATGATCCGTGCACCGACGGCCCGGCCGTGGCATGGCAGCCGCGTTCGTGGCGCTTCATGTTGCTGCGGACGCTGAAGGCCTTGCCACAGCCGGCGTGCGGGCACTTGAACGGCTTCTCGCCCGTGTGGCTGTGGCTGTGGATGCGCAGGCTGCTGGGCCGGGAGAAGGCCTTGTTGCACGTCTGGCAGATGTACCGGTCCTGCGATTGGGGGAATGCGGCCGCGCTCGACGCGCTGATATAGTGGTGGTGTTGCCACGGGTTCGGGTTGCCGGGCGTCGTCACCGGCACCGACACCGGCACCGGCGGCGGGGGAAAGTTCGAGGGCAGCGGGCGCTGGCCGTACATGCCCGGCGAGGTGTAGACCGGGTTTTCCGGGGAGTAGTACGAGCCCACGGAGGCGGCGCCAGGAGAGGAGGCGTAAGGAGAAGCTGCGTATGGCGAGGTCGCGTAAGGAGAGGTCGCGGGCTGCGAAGGCACGGATGGGCGCTGGCGCATGGGAGCAGCGGGGGGCATCTGCTGGCGCTGCTGGTGCGGCTCCATGTTGTTCAGCGATTGGCCCAGGTAGTAGGGCGTCTGCTGCGGGACAGACGATTGCGAAGAGGTGGAGGGAGACTGGTTCCCGTCAATGACGGAGTCCGGCCGCATGGGAGGCGTGGGCGGCAAAGTCATTCTGGGGTGGCTCACGATCGTGGGGGCGAAAGCTTGCTGAGCCTGGTCGGGTCGGTGGTCGGGCGGCAGGACCGGCTGGTGCTGCACCTGCTGGTGGTGGTGGTGCGACGGCGGTTGTTGTTGTTGCTGAGCCTGTGGGACGGCCTGCGGCTGCTGGCTTGGCGACGCCTGCTGTGACTGCGACCCTGGGGAGGTGTTAATTTCGCGTGACTCTCTCTCTCTGTCTCTCTCGGCAGCGAGGCGGCCGGTGCTCGCGACTCGCATGTGCGTGTGCGGCATGGGCGGAAGGGGGCGGTGCTGGGACTCACCAGGCTCTGTGTTGGGGCGCTCGCCGTCGGCGATGCCCAGCAGGCTCGAGATGGACGGGAGCGACGGTTTGTTCGCCAGGTCTTCCACGGGCGGCGAGGGCGGGCTCTGGGGCGCGCCGGGGTAGGGGTGTGCGTGCTTGAAGGCCTGCTGCTGCTGGTACAGCTGGTGGTGGTAGCCGGCGGCGACGTCCTGCGGGTGGTGCTGGACGCGCTGGCTCTGGTACAGGTGGTGCTGGTGTTGCTGGCGGTAGTACTCGTGCGCCTCTTGACGGCTGTCCCTCCCAGTGCCGTGGACCATACTCGACAACTGCATCGCTCACCCTTGGGCGACGATGGAATAAGAGGCGGTGGTGAGGGGACGGAATGGAAGTTTATAGAGCGGCGGTGGACAGCGCGTGTCCAGCAGATGCCGTGTGTCGGTGGGCTACCTGGGCTGAAGCTGCGCGGCTTGGGCCAGGCGGGCATTCAAGTACGTCGACGGGCTGCGGTGACCGTCGCCAACGGGGTGGGTCACTTGTGCTGAGACCAGCGGGACCCTGGCTTGAGCGAAGGGGATCCACCGTTGAAGAGGCGGGCCGTTATTATCTGGAGAGCGCCTGTGCCCACTTCTTCACAACGGTAATGCAGATGATAGTCGTGCTTTGTATCCCATGCGGCAACCAGGCCCTGCCTCGCGCTGCGACTCGGAGCAGCGACAGGGATCCACCAGCCCCGGCCAGGGCCCCCCTGCGTGTCAACGCGCACCCACCATCGCCGGCTATCGAACCGTTCGGGGAATGAGGCGGCCGGGACAGGCCTTGCTGCACTGCAGATCGGCTGCTCTCAGGCCACTACCTCCGGCGAGTCCAGCGTGACGGATAAATTCCTCGGTTGCGCTTGACGGCTCGCCAGGAATGCGTGATGTGCGCCGGGCTGCCCACGATCTTGCGGCAGAGCGGCCAAGTGCTCGAGCTCTGCATGCAAGGGACCTGGTTGGCCGGCTCCCCCACAGTTGCGCCCCGTCCGGTGTAGATTGCGTGTGCGACGCGCTGATGAAGGGAGCGCTGCTCAGGAACGTGAGCGGTCGGAGATGTGCTGCCTCCAGCGCGGGCGGCAGATCGCTACCACATCCGCCGCCGCCGGAACGGCTCCGGGGTCCCGGCTACTGGCACGCTGCCCAGCTGGCCGACTGCAAACGCCAGCAGAAGCCTCACGATGCGAGACGGGCCGAGTGCGAGTGTCAGGTGCAGCGCCTGCCTGCGCTGCGCTGCGTCCTCACCGCAGCACCGCGTGCGATTAGCCAGCGCCAGCGCCAGCGCCAGCGATTAACCGCTCCACCAGCCTGACTAGAGTCCGCTAGCCGGCAGGCGCGCAAGCCGCCGCGGTGAATCGCAGCACGCGGCCTGCTCCGCCTGCACGCCAGCAGCGTAGCTGCACATCCGCCGCGGCGGGAGGGCGAGCCTGTGGCCGTGGCCGTGGCCGTGGCCGTGGCAGTGGCAGTAGCCGTTGGCCCGCCGCGGGCACAGAGTCGTCGCGCTGATCAGCCGCCCGCTTCGCCCATCATCTGCAGCTAACCTTGAAGCCACGTTCGCGGCCTCACCGCGCCAGTGACGCCCTCGCTGCGCACAGCACGCAGCCGAGCTGCTGCGTCAGCCGGCGTTCCAGGTCGCGCTCGCTGCTCGCTTGCGGCGCCGAGTTGCACTGCATGGCGACGCGGAGGTGGGTGGGCAACAATTTAACATACGACCACGCGCCGACACCGATGCAGCGTGCGACACAGCCCTGCTACTCCTGCTGCTAGATCGCATCGACTCGGCTCTGCCGCGCGCGACAATAGCCGGCCGCTTAAAATTTGAAGCTACCTCTGCTCCGCACGCTAGCACTCTCGCCCTGCAATCACAATTCCGCGCCGTGTCCTGTGTCCTGCGCCCCTCTGCATAGCGGAGCATAGCGGGCATCCACCGTCTTATATGCCCATCCAGCCACGGTGGACCCTGATCACCAGTAGGCGAGCGCGCTGTCTCTCGCGCGCCTCCCAATAGCACAGGCTGGCGCCGAGCCTGCGCTGCCGTGGGATCCCCCACTGCCACCCAGACCTCGCTGGCCTCGCTGGCCTCGACGATGCTTGCTGCCCAACGAACCAGGCAGCGCGCTGAGTCGCACCCTCGCCGGGGCTTCTCTAGCTGCATGACGCTGATGACGATGCTAGGCCGCCAGAAGGGCGCATCTCCGGCCGGCCTATATCAGACCCAACAGCGCGCTGCACAGCACCCACCCCGGCGGCACAGCGAAGGATCGCAGTCGACAAGCCATGTCCCAGGGCACCGGGAAATTGACGCTGGAGGGCGCGCGCGATCGACCGCAGCGCTACGCAGGTGAAGGATCAGAATCAGATCATGCCGAGGGGAGAGCAGCTCCGGCCGTCGCCCTCGCGGGGCGCCGCCGACCTCATGCGGACGCTGCTGGCGCAAGATGCTGCACGCGGGGCCCGACAGCTCGTCGCCGTCATCAGCTGCGCCTGCCGCTGGGATCGGAGCGCGTTAGTGCGTGATCCTCCCGGGCGCGAATGGTGGGATGAGGTTGGCGGCGGCCAAGGATGCCTCCCAAGGAGCCAACGCGGGCGGGCGGTAGCACGTCGATCTCAGCACGGATCAGTGGAAGCTTCGCTGGAAGAGGCGTCGAAAATTCTGTCCTACGCCCGCCGGCCGCCCATCCCGGCCGCTCTCCTGAGCATCCCAAGCGGCGCACCGCAGGGCCGCCGCTCTTCATCAAAGGCTCGCGGGGCCATGCATGTACGCTGCCCGGCCACCACGCGAGCAGCCCCCGGGATGCTCCCGTCCACCGGCCAGTGCTGCGTGCTGCGTGCTGCTGCGTGCTGCTGCGTGCTGCTGCTGCTGCCTCGGCGGTGCGCGGCCTCGTACCGCTCTTCGAGAAGGTGTCTAGCGCGTCCGCGTTGATTGGCCCTGACTCGCCAGCCAAACACGCGGGGCCCGGCACCTCACCTCAACTCTCCAGGCCGCTCGTCAACACCGCCCACCTGCATCGCGAGCCCCCACATTGCTTGCTTGTTCGGCGCGTACTACCAGCGCCGCATTGCCCGCCCGGCCGACGCGCCGCTTTTGCTGCTCACGACAGCACCGCCCCGACCAGTCGCGCGCACCGCAGCACGCTGAACCAGCACCCCCAGCCGCCAGCCCCGGCACCCCAGCACCACCGCACGCAGGCCCGCGCCGCCCGCGAGGCCTCCCGGCGCACGCGTGCTGCGCGTTTTGGCGACATTTGCCCGCCGCTGCGTGCAGCGCAAGCGACGCTGCAGCGCTGCACGGAGGCTGGGCGCCGGCCGTCAGCGCCGCCGCGGCGCCGCGGGCGGTGGAGCTGCGACTCGCGATCATCGCGGGCGTCTCGCTTGCTGGCTCGCTGGCTCGCATCACCACACCGCTGCCCGCTGCCCGCCGCCCGCCGTCCTTGGTCCGCCGGCGAGCCTGCCACCTGCCTGCTGCTGCTCTCCCCTTTGGCGCGCGTCTATCTTGGTCCTCGCTTGTCAGGAGGATTTGCAATCGCGCGCCGCCCTCCGACTGCTAGTCATGAATTGGGAGCTACAGCCGGGATGCCCGATCTCCAGCCAGGAATGTCGGCCACCGCTGTCGCCTCTTGCTTGGCGTGCCGGGTGCGGTCTCGTCGACGCCCGCCTCACCACCGCCGCTGCGAATCTCCGCGTCTCCCCCCCTTCCAGCGCTCTGGCGCTGGCAGGCGCATGGCCGTGGCCCGCGGCGAGATCGTGGATGCAGGCGGGAGGCGGCGCGCCAGCAGCTTGCGTCCCGAGCGTCTCCAAACAATGCGTCGCCAATGCGGCGCACGGCTCGTCCGCTGGATGTTCCCCCAGGGCAACGGTTCGGATCAGGGGGCATTTTCTCGGCTGATCTGCACCACACAAGATTATCGCGCGCAAAAACCTGGGAGATGCACCGGGGACCGGGGTCGTCTGCGAGATGGCGGTGACCTTGACACATTTTAAAAGCGATTCGGTCCTAAATGAGTCGCCCCTCGTTCCCCTCATGGCGCGCGTGATGCTGTTACAGGACTACTCCGTACGCTACGCCACTTTAACCGGCTGTTCTCTGGAGGCCAATCTGGCAGCACGCTTCGATCTTCATCATCCCTGCCTTGAAACTGTCTTGGACTGCTGCGATACGCTCTCGTCCCAGGTCCCGCATCTGCTCCGGCGATTAGCGCACGCGAGGACCCGTTCGGTCTGGCTGACGATGATGTTGGCCGCAAGCCCCCCCCCCCACCCATGTCTGCTCCGCAGCATTCCCAGGGTGCCAATTGCTCGCTGCGCGCTAGCCGGTGCTTACTGAACGGTGAGCGACCGCATGTACCAGGGGTCACCACCTCAACGCCATCGTGTGCCCACATGTAGCGAAGCTTCGAAGTTGCACCGTGCGTGCCGCGTCGTGCCGGTAAGCGTGGCTTGGGATGGATCACCCTGTATGGAGCACCCGCCTAAATCGCCCGTCGAGGGGCCAACGCAAGTCATCTATTGATATTGATTGCATCGCAGCTGACCACCGGCCCAACAAGCGGCAGCGTTGCATCTGCGCTTCCGTCAGCGTCTTGTTGGAACGGGCAGCTGGCTGCCCTCTAGGTCCCTTTCAATGGCCATGGACCCCGAAAGCGGATCGCGTGTCGACAGGCCTGTCCGCAGTGCCGGAGTAAAGCTACAGCGAGAGTGGCAGGGGGCCTTCTCCATTCGGGAGGTAGGCCGCGCTGTCACAAAATTGCGCAGCGCATGGCTCAGACAGCGGCTGACGTAGATCCTTTCGTCAGCCCGTCAGGAGCAACCACAACTGGCGCATCCCACATATCCCTGCGCCAGGGCAGGCATTATTCCGCCCCCGGTGTCGCGCCAAGCCGAGATCCAGACGGAGCGTCGTTGCCAACCTCCGCTCCCCTTCGGGCAACGTCCCTATTCCAATCTGTCCCGCAGAGGCACGCTCCTGCAGGCCTGGCTCCGGAGTCGGCACGGTCCTCCGCCGAGTCTCTGGTCCGTTGTTTGGTACGGTAGCTTCCGAGAGCACTCTGGCAGATCTTCGCCGGAAAAGACGTAATGGGCGGCGACCGGCTGGGTTTTTGAGTTGCCGTGTGTCGACGCTCCATACCGATTGGCCGTTCGATGGGCGACTAGACCGGCCCGCCCTAAATCGTCCGCCTTGTACTCTAAACGTACGTTACTCGGTCTCTGCTGCTAAGGAGAACCGCCACTTTGATCGCGTCCTGTGTCGCCGTGCCGCAGCATCCTCGACGCGCGCCCATGGGATC